GACGATACAGTTCAAATAATTTCTATAGCTAATCGTCAAGAAATCTATGCCAGTTGAATGTTGTAAAACTTACTCTATGACTTTTGTAGAGCATAATCCAGAAATCGATCTGAGTGACAGTAGGAAAAACATGTCCTTAGTACACTACTAATTTACAGAAAGAGTTGTTGGGAATGTGTCGACCACTGGAAGAATAGTCTCCCACTCTATATTCAAATTCACCAGCAAAGAAACTCATCTAGCTGGTAACTTATGCTACGACAGATAACTATATTACTCTTGCTGGTATATTAGTGGTACAGTTAGTCGGATGGAACCAATCGGTAAGAAGTCCCGTTTTAACTAAGTTTTGTGCTCGTCGGCACTCTTCAACTCTGACTGGGTGACGCACTTTAGAGTCTCGGGCGAGACATCAGTCACGTCGAGGTCCACTTCTTATGGATTGGCTCGATCCAAGTAACATTTATTTCAATGGGTTGCGATGTCGAGTCAACTAGACTGCTGTTCACATCGCAAATTGATCAATAAACCTCTAACAACACTGAGGAATAGACAACGTGCCCTCTGGTGACTGATCAGCGTACTAATGGTACACCTGTGTTAAAAGAAATACAACATGAAGTGTAAAATTAATGACTAGCTGGTAAGAACTATGCAGATATTCGGAAGTTGTCCTACTACATGTATCAATTAGCATTTATCTCTAAGATGAACCTGAAAGTTTTAGTAATCTCATGCTGCATGAAACATTCCAACTTGTATCGTTCAGTTCTCCCATTTGGAACTGGAGGATCATTTTCGTAGCGATCCTCATAATTAACTGAAAGGTATTTATTCAACTTACACAACTGGATTCACTCCATCAATAGAATCCTGATGATGGTTTTGCTGAGGTTGGTCAGCACTAACTGTCCCCATTATCGGATATTGTGCTTCTGAGGCAGCAGCGATAGCTTCAGTCTCTAAATTTTGTACACCAACTCGACGAACCTAGAAGTATACACAAGATAGAAAAGCAATACAGTTTTACGTAACACCAATGGTGAAATGGTCAGCTAGTCTCCTGGAATTAGTTTTCAGGACTGTCACTTTGACGCATTCTAGTGTGTAGTTATTGTTCTGATACGAATGGACAGTCCTCAAAAATAACTTAGTAAGGGTGCTGGTTGGATAGACTGATAAATGAAGCTTTGTAACAAGAGAGTGACTTTAAAGGTCACCTTATAAACTGCTGATATAACCAATCAGGGTCTCCGCATTTCAGCTGGAAAAATAGTTTTTCATAAAATAAAGGAACGTAATTGGTTGTTTCAGCAGTTATTATAGTGACCTTTAAAGTCACTCGAACAATGTTTTTACCAATTAAATTCCCTTCTTTAATATAAATAACAAAACATACATAAAAATTAAACTAATCATGCTTTGTTCTAATTTACTTGGTGAAAATTTAATAAGCCATACGAAAAATGGAGTGATTCCAAATGCTCCCCTAACAACAACTGAAACAACTAACTGGACTTCTTAACTCTATGTAAATCTGCCTTTCCAGACAAAAAAGAGATGTGATTGATTACTTCAGTTGTTGTTAGAGTGGCTTTGGAGTTCCTCCGCCTAGACTGGTCAACGTAGTGTTGAGAACAATCTTTGTAATTGATTTTGTAGACCATATTCGTCGTTTCTTCCTTCAACAACGGACCCCTACGTCTACATAGCATGCTGTGTAGTGATTTCATTGGTTTATGTCCTACTCCAATTCCAAAGTAATCGGTTAGTTGTTTCTGAGACATATCATGTAGAGTAGTGTAACGTGCATATTGATTTCAGGTAATTGCTCTTGGTTTCAATGCACGCAGACAATCACGATCACTTATTCGACTGGGAGGAAGTGAAAATCCTCCAAAGAGCAGGTTAAAAAGATGCAAGAAAATCTCTCGAAACATGGGACTCCGACGAAAGAGCAACCAGAAACATGTGGATGAAGCCCCCAATCTACAATCTACTTAGGAAGAAAACAGCCATCTATCGACTAAGGGTAAACTGACCAAACAAATCAATAATTAGGCCCAGTGAAACAGTTACAAATACCACAATTTCACCCTAACAAAGATTCTCAACCAGAGGGAACAAATGGAATTTAAGGTCAAAGATATCAAAATGTGACAGGAATCTAACTAACAGTTGGACAACACCCAAGATCAGTAATAAAATGATCTAAACATTCGTGCAATATTCGAATGTGCTTCACTTGTTTATGAAGATTGTACTGAGGATGTCACCAAATCTGGTAGTGAGAAGTCCACAATAAAGCATCAAAGCTCAGAAAACACAGAACTGTCATCATCCTTATCCTGAGAAATAAATATTTTCCATCACTGGAATATTTGTTCCTATCAATTCATCTCACTACACTGATATAAATTGTGGGCCTAGTATATCAGAATGACCCAACGAACATTTGTTCTCTCAAAGTTCTACCATACCAGAAAGGTTTATTGGATAGTGGTAAGACGAAAAGGAGTTAACATTATAACGTCAACTGCTAAACTATGATAGAGGTGCGAGGGCGAAGTCGTACCGCTGGCTAGACGGTGTGACAGCAGTAAGGTGTTTACCTTGGATGATCAGCAGACCCACGTTAGTGCTACCTTCCCTACGGGAAAGATGGGGTTTAAAAGGTTGGCTCCGAAGATAGCACACACCTCCCTGCCCATGGTCTTCCAGTTTCAGGAGCATAGGCTTTCTCTGTCTAGTGTTAGAACAATAAGATCTCATATCAGCAATCCTCGAAAGGCTGTGTGACAGGTCTCAAGTAGATGTCCCATGGGTTTTGTAGTCACATAAATCTTTTTCTGTCTCAGGAATCCTAAGAAGAAGTAGCCTTTCATGGTGTGATAAAGCTGGGATTTAGTTAAACAAATATCTTCTCAACTATAAAGTACAAATTCGTTGTAGAACATCAAAATAATCACCACTTGATTAAACTGAATTCATTCAAAGTAATTAGGACTAGTGATGAAGACAACGGATAGAAGAGAAATTTTAAGTTGGCATTCATCATGGACTGACATCAGTTGGAGAGCTACTGAAAACTCGAGAGTACTGTACATCTGTTTCGTCCTAGTGTGTGATACCTTAGTAGTGCGTACCTATGTCGTGTGTTTTCAACGGTTTTCCAACACATGATATCAGTACGTGATGAAAACCTAGTTGAAATCGATAAATAAACTCCCCATAAACCTTCAAATTGCAGTTTTAAAAAGAAATAACTCCAGGCACATACTTTAAATCGTGCTAAAAATGGTGCTTTAGCCGCAGATTGCATTGGTGTACCAGACATATAATCAATCTCTAATACAACTGAATCAGGATTTGAGGGTAAATAGCAACCGGGTTTAACATTGACTTCACGTAAAGCGTCTAGGCAGGCTTTCTTGCGTGCTTCGCCTTTAGGAAATGGTCTACAATGGAAATAAAAGTGTACAAAATGCCTCAAGTATTTTTAAAACGCTAATTCCATTTTACTACGCAACAGTAAAAGCTTTGGTAGTAGAGTATAATTCCATATGAGTGTTTATTTGATATAACCAGTGCGCAGCGATAGAGTATTATTTAATGGATGACGTTTCGGGTAGAACTTATTGCTCACATTCATCTCCAAGTAATTATACAACTTTCAAACGTAACTTGTCATATAGTCCAACACAGTTGTTCATTCTTTCATTTTGATGGTAAACGTTCCCAGATATCTACTATATGTGATGACGAACGATTTCTGCTTTACTTGGGTTCGGTGTTGATTCTGCAGCCAATCTCTCCCTCCACCTAGCTATATTGGATTTTAGAATTGTTACATTATCCCACCCATCTATACTATGATTACAGATCAGTGCAGGCAGAGCGATACTCGAGTTTTTCACTAAATTACTAATCTTAGAAGGTCCTATAATTGTTTTTCGCTAAAGTTTTGTGTTCTGCTATTTTAACTGAGACTGATCGGCAACTTTGATCTATGCACTTGACCTTATAATCATTATATGGAAGGTGTTCGATAGATTAGGTTATTTTGCCTAATTGATTCTACTGGATACTTAGCCTGTAAAGTTTCTCTCTAAATCAGTTTGTGGGCTTAGATACCACCCAAATCCCTGCATTGTTAAGCATTTCCAATGTGCCTCCTTCATACAGCAACAGTACAGAAGTACACACAGAACAGGTGGACAGAAAAAAGTGACACCAAAGTAGACAAAGCTATCTTACAGAATAAACTATTTGAAGAGAACGGTTAGTGAAAATATTCAGATTTCAGAAGAAGTCAAAGAACGAATATATCTGCTTTGCTGTGACCGACTTCAAGCCATTTCACCAAGAGTCCTCAATCAGTGATTTCTGTCGCCTTGAGGAGCCCAGTCAGGTAGTCTACATCCAACACTGCTAAGGCCAACGGTCAAGGACCTCATGGACTAGTTCCATATCTTGATCCTGAACTCACTTTCAACCTAATCCAGCTTCACTTAACATGGCACGCAGAGGTAGCCGATGGAACGGCGTGTGCAACACATGTCCAAGCCACCTCAGTCAATGAATCTTCAAAACTTCATAAATCAACTTGCTTGTCTTTGCTAGTACCTTTCGGCCAACCTAAACATTGGTAACACATTGATTCCATCAAAAGCAAGCAATGCTAAGAAGACTCTTGTTTAAGATGTCTCTTAGTGTACTGATCATCTAAGCGATCTGACGCTACAGTGCTCATGTGTTGTAGCGTCATTCACATTACGGTAGAACAATTCTGGTTTATATGAATCGCTCTCCAGAAAAGCTCAGATTGTCAGATTAAGAAAAAGGTCAATATTGAAGATTTTAGTCCAATTTCCCACGTTACTCATCAGAGAGAATCCCTTCAGCTTTAGTGGAGCACTCGACATTTCATAGTAGACTGAATCTTAAAAGATGAGAAATCAAAGAGCAGAAATTATCAATGGAAAATAAGAAAAACCAACCTGATTTTAGCCGAGACTGAAGTGATTTGATCGAAAAATTCAAATTCTCTTTGATAAAATGCTAGTGTGGACCCATTGAAATTACGTTGTATAGTACTGGTTAATGCTAGTAGATGATTACCAATTTCATTATCGAATTTCACGCCTTCTTCATCACGATAAATATTTGTCTTCATATTCCACAACAGTTGATGCGCTAGTAACGGTGAACGCTTAGCTGAAGTGACTATTGACTCGGATAAATATCCCAACTAAAAGGTCAGTGTACAAAAAATAAAACGACAAATCATGAAATTATCACGAAATAATGAACATCTGTTTTTCTGTCTCTTGGCAGTGACCAATCAACAAGAATTCAACCTTGAGGTGCAGCACTCGTCTAGGAGCGGTCGATAGTTATCTCCCTGAATACAGACAGTTTTAAGTTTGAAAGAAGAAGGGTACAAAGTCATTTGATGCCACAGACGAACAGAAAGAAAAGTTCACAGGTTCCTGAAATGGAACATGAGATAAAGTGCACACAGTGCGATACAGTGCTACTTGGGGGAAGAGAGGGAAGGCGTGATCACCTACCACCTTATTCCACTCACGATTTTGTCAGTACTGACAGTTACAGTATCACAAAAACAATTCTAGCATAGTGAAAAACACATATAGATTTAAAATGAATAGTTCTGGTCACGAAGTAAAAGATGCAACTCAGTGACTACGAGCACTCTTGAGCGGTACACAACGGGTCATGGCCTATTGTGTCAGGTTAATGATACTTACTACCTAGTTGTCTAGACTCACTTCCGGAAAGCCGTATTCGAGACCCTTGGCTATCTTATAGGTAGAGGAAATACGACTTACAAGATAATACTCCATTTAGTAAGAAAATTACTAGTTATTATTGGTGATACGTGAGGAACAGTCAAATCTATACAAGGCGAAAACAATTGAATAAGACTCTTACAAGAAAACTATTTCATTGTTGATACTCATGCAATCCTATACACAACTCTGAAGTCCGTTTCCACTATCTCCCATCTCACATAGAAATCTCAACACTACACTATACTACAAACATATTTTTCCAAGTATTTAATTATAATTATGACAACGTTTTGATAAAAATCAATTACAAAACTTTATGGTCATAGGATAAGCAAATTGAACAATTTCTGCTTTAGAAAATTCTCAAATGAAATCTGACGATCTGTATTAAACAATGCTATTCACAATCTGGAGGTACTTTGATAAGATGATTTGTTATTTGCCATTGTTATTGTTGCTTCCCTTAAGCCGACGAGTACTGATTATGAATATTCGAAGCTGGGGAAAGGGCAACAAAAACACTTATTAAAAGTGGAATTGTGGCTCGTTGGTCAAGACAGTCGACCAATGGTCACGGATTCCAACCACGCTCCACCTACGGAAGTTTAGACAACCAGGTATTATTACTGGCATCCTTACATGATAGGTGTGGTCTCATTACCGACTGTAAGAATGAGCACAAGATTGTTAAGTGCATTTCAATTTTTCGATTCCATTAAAAGCAGGGACATCAACAGAGAATTTTATGAGGAAAACGTTGTAGGTCGTAACATATAACGCTGATTTGTGTACGAGATTACTTCCTTATGACCATCAACTGCCAGTAGGAATATCATCTAACATTAAACCTATCTCGGGCTAGGAAATAGCTAGATATTCTCCTTCATCAGACATAAAATGACCAAAAAATAGTCAGAAAACCTTAAAAATATGACACCATCTAAAGTGACAAGTTTGACTGATATCTGACAAAATGAATATTGGTACTGGCTGATGATTGAAGGTAAAAATTAAAATCTGAGCCATAGCAGGATTTAAACCAGCGACTACCAGATTAACCTTGACTACAAATCTACAAAACCATCGTTATATCTCAGATAGTCAAAATGACTAAAAATCAGCATGTCTAAGTCTATGCTTACTTTATCATAACGAATTCCTTGAACAAACTGAGGGACATAGAATAGCATAGTATCCGGAGGATAGTCAGCCAGTACACGTACAGCATACTGATGTGTTAAAGGATGCTGAGGGTACATACGTGAGAAGAATGAGAGCGCCACTACTGGAGCAACCGGTGACCATGTTAATATATGAGATAACTAAAAACAAAAAGAGGAAATGAGAAAAAACATGAACACATTAAGCTTACACTGCCCAATGAGAATACGAGAGCAAAGTTATAATCATAGATTCCAATGAATGATCAATGTTGAACAGTATCATTACTGCATAAACGAATTATAAATACAACTCTTGCCTCTGAACGACCTTCTTCAATGTTAATTGAAGTTGCCAAATACTGCAGAGCAGCAGGTATATGCGTTACATGTTGTGGATTAGCAGTGACCAACAAAGAAACTTCACTCCGCAGTTCATCTGAACCAGTAAACCTACATTTAAAAGAAACATATATGATACATAAAGCATTATTGATTTTAAAATATTTCTTGAATAGAAAATAATAAAATCAACTATTTTCCTAGAAATAATTCAGCATACCTAATTCGTTATAGTTCCTGTAAAGCTGAGTACATCAGTTGTACACCATGCACCAGCTCATGCAACGCGCACACTACCTAACCTGGATGACAAGAAGAGAATGCAAATGCATCTTTAAATATATAACAGAACAAGTAGTGAACTAATTTCATGATACCCTTGACTCCTTTTGACTAGTCCTTCAAAATTTTGTACAAAATCAGACCAATCCACTTGAAAGAAGTGAGGTTAAGACACCTGGGTATAATTGAAGCATTAGCTATTCAAAAGTTCAAACCATCGTTATGCGTTCAAAAGAAGTATTTATAACCTCTTTCTTTGCTATGGCTATCGAAGAGGACCGATTCCCTAACATAATTCCCTTACGACGTAAGTACACTTAGTTTCGTAATCCCCGTTTTAAACGCCTACCGATATTACGCAACTTCCCTTACCAGGCAATTTATATTGACCTCTGACAGGAAATTACTCTCGAATATTCTATCCTTCTAATATATATTCACTAATGTATAGCTAAGAGGATGATTTCGTCTAAAATAAATTCTTGTCTCGATGCAATCATCTGTTCTTTCGACTGCAGAAACACAAAAATCATATGTAAAAGAAACCTTATTCACCCGCTGACTTGAATACGAAATATTTATCGGAACAGACGTTTTGCAACCAAACTTCATTTAACCTTTAATGATAGTAAGCTGTTCTCTGTATGTGTAAAAGCCGATATCACTCGACCGGATGCCTCCATGTGCATCGACCACTTCATCAGCACACGTGGAACAGTATACATCGACCGCTAGACAAAGATTACTGTCAACACGTTTATGAGGACATATTCAAGTCTGCCTTTATAAGAGTGAAATGAAGTGTACTAAAAATTCTATTCTTGATTCGATTCCAAACATTCAGCCAACCCAAATAATGATTTTAAGGTTGTCTGACAGATTCGCTCAAACATTTTACTTTTTCTCTCTGTCTTCAACTTTTAAATATCGCAAAAACCTTATCTATCCATGAACTGAAGCCTGATCTATATGCGTAAGAGAAGTACTTCAACCTTAACTTAATTTGACCTTGGTTTTTGCTGTTTCGTTTCGGGTCTTTCCGAACTCTGCATTTGTTAGGTGGTTCTTTCCATTCTTGTATCGCAACTACCGGTATTAATTTTACATTCAACAGTTTCCAGAGTGTTACTTCAGATAATCTTCCCAATAACTGCAACGGTTGACAAAACATTTTCATCTTATCTCCCTTAACTTATCTAATTCATGTTATCTAATCTTTTGATTGCTTAGGTAATTCTCCTTGTTCATTTTCTACTTCGTAAGTGAATTGGATTGCGTTAACTACTGAGTTTATGTGTGTCAAGAAACTGTCGATATGTTCCGATTTCAACACTGTAAATGTGTCATCCACATATCGCCACCATATCTTAGGTGTCGGATTATATGTTCGTAAAGCCATATCTTCCCAACTATCCATAAATATATCTGCTACTATAGGGGATATTGGTGATCCCATTGCTACTCCTTCTGTTTGTTTATATATCTTTCCCTGAAACTTGAAGACTGTTAGATTGCAGAATAAAACGAAGGATAGATGGTGGTTTAGATACTACCGTCTACAGAAAACCAACACATTCTAACAGATATCTAGACTTCAAGTCATCTCATCCAGTGTCAGTTAAAGCGGGTTTAGTCAAATGTCTAAATAACAAAGCTGAGAAACTCACTAGTCATTGTAAGGACTTAAAAAAGGAATTGAAACACATAAAAGAAGCGTTAATAATTAATAATTATCCCCATCATTTTATTAAGAAATTCACACAAACACATAAGAAGCAAAATAATAACACTAATACAAATACAAATAATAGCGACAACATAAGTAGAAAGGAAATCAACACCTCTATTGTGATACCATACAAGGAAGGAACATCAGAAACCATACGTAGGATTCTCAACAAGGTTGGAATTAGGGTGGCATTTAAACCAACAAACTCACTTAGAGGTAAGCTTTGTGGGCTAAAAGATCCGATAGAACCAATTAGGCAAAATAATATAATCTACCAAACTCCATGTAATGACTGTGAGGTCAAATACATAGGTCAAACTAGCCGGTCGGGGTCAGTTAGATTAACAGAACATAGGAATTTAGCTAAACATAGAACAACAGACCCCAATAAGATCAATAATCTAGAAAAACACTCGGCCATTACATTCATTAACACACAACCACACAATACGGGTGGGACAAAACCACTGTACTTAAGTCTAATATAGCTAGGTGGAGAGAGAGATTAATTACTGAATCTTTGTTCATCGAATCCATACCCAACACATGTGATGGGAATGACGCAACACCTATACCAGAGATATGGAAAACTTTACTACCAATCAAAAAACAAAGAGAGATCAGGTGACAGGACTATAAAATCAGATATCGAAAGAAGTGTGATTACATTGATATGATTATGAGCAATAATTTATGCTCGAAACGTAATCAAGTAAATAATACTGTATCACTGTGCGCTTTATATCAAATAAACAAATCTAATATGGAATTACTTCCTCAACATTGCATGTCTAGGTAGACGGTGGCTCGGCATGCGCAGTACATGTCCAAGCTATCTCAGTCGATGAAAGTTCACAAACTTATCAATCGACCTGTCTGTGTTGCCTAGTACCCTTCACCTGACCTAAACACTCCTCACTTG